GCACGATAGAAAAATTAAAAAAAATAAATAAACTACATTATACTCGTAATGTAAATAAATATATTTATTAGGAGTTGTAATACTATAGCAGTCGCTGGTTCGGATTCAGGTTAGAGAAATATAAATAGCGAGAGGGGTTGGTCAGTGGAGTTTTTGATTTTTAAAAATATATTTAACGCACGTTTAAATGCATTTATACAATACGCACGAAACGTTGAGATAAGTATGCGATTTTACGCACATGCGTACGCATCCCGATGAGTGCGCGAGCGAACTTTTCAATAGACTATAGATCAGTATCATTCTGCTTTCTATAACAGTATGGTTTTACTTTAAAGTTATGTTTATCATAATTATTATTACTTAAAAATTTACGAAAATATATCCTACCGCTCGGACGATAAACACAAATGTGTTGGTAGGAGTATAATATTTGGGGTATCTTAATATAAATCTATCAATGGTTATTATGGTATACGGGCAACGCTCGTCAAAAATTGATTGTCACGTTCCTAATCATTAATAATTAATGATTAATTAATTTAATTTGTATTAATCATTAATGATGATAATAATAATATGTATTCGTTGAATTGTAAACATTATATTATTTTACCATATCGCCGACCAGCGAGTTGTTTTTAGTTTGCGCCTCAACGCATTTTGGATTTTAATGTAACGTGATGATAAACGATCAAATTTGCTGACATAATTTGAGTAAGTGTTCGTCATAGTCGTTTTTTTTAGCGCCCCTCGCCCTTCTTATTTTTAATCGTTGATAATAATAATAGGTTATTTCGAGGATAATGAATTTGTTTTATTCATTCAAGCGTTCCGCGCTAACCAGAAACGAGGGGTGCGAAGGACGCACCTGTACATCAGAAACGTGACTTTAATTTACGAAAGATGATTAAAATTAAGCTAAAAACCACCTGTAGAAGTGATCACTCGGATTTTGTCTTCTTACAACTTCGTCATAAATCATAAAAATTAAACGTCATAATACATTTATCATAAATATCATAATAAAATCTATCCAACAACTTTTTTTAAATATCTAAACACAAAAATAGTTTTCAAAAGGTATAGGAACTATTTAATTCAATCTACCTTTTGGTTGACTTTGGTTTACTAATTTTAAATTTTAATCGGATCTTAAGCAATTTTAAGGCATTTATTCTCTTATACTCCAAAGTGTACACGTAATTATAATTAGTATTTTATTTTTCAAGTACAATATTATTAATTTTTTTTCATTATTAGCTAGTGTATATGTTGTTCAACCTTTTTTTTTCTATAGTAAACAATAATATGAGTTAAATGAGAGTTTTAATTTATACTTACAACTCATGATTTTTGAGTGCGATAAAACCTTTTCGATAAAAATATAAATAAAAGACAAAATAAATTTTTCATAGTGATATTTCATAGCATTCCGTGTAGATAACGAATTCCCATTGAACTACAATCATGTAAATAAATATGTATAAATTATACACATGCAATCACACACATACGTATTTGATAACATAAACTTTACTTACGACACAGATATAGATAATAATTATTATTATCTATATACGTGACTTACAAATTGTGTTTGTAAACTATTTGATAAAGAACCTTGATTATTGTAAAACGATAACAATTTTTTTCTTCTCCTGCTATAACGTCAGAAATTGAGGTTAATAGCTTACAATAATATCACATATTAATAATAAGTACGAATGATTATAATGGTTTTTCTTGAGTAAGTTACAAATATTTATATGTTTGAAGAATGTAATGATTTTGTTGGTGTCGTCTTCGATTGGAATCAGAACTTCAAAAAGAGAAAATCATTATTTTTAATTTTAAAAACATAATATTAATTGCAATGTACAACATAATTATTTACAATGGTGGGTACTATTATCACGTATCAAGACAGAAATCGACTACAAAACAGTCAGTAAAATTTCAATATTAGTCAGAAGTATTGATGTTTTAAGTAAACGCTTTTTTTTTCACAATAGCTACTATAATATTCACAGTTGAAATTTGTTTTAAAAAATTATTAAATTATTTATATTAAACTCTACAGAGTAAAATTTATTATGTTATCATGTTTTTTTTTTTTTTTTAGAAAAACATTAATTTTTTTCTGTATTGTATTGAGGAAAAAATACCGATCTATATCTCGCCATAACCGTTGAGTGAACGATAACAGACTGACATATGAGTAACCTGACGATCGGAATAGTTTGCATTACGTACCAACTAGTAATTCTAGACAATCCAGTGGATGCACGGAGTGTGATAGATGCCGTGTGCTGCAACGACGTCAGGGAACGACCTGAAAACGACAGGAACGAACTTGGGAGATGGGGTGCTGCGACGGTGAAATTTTGATCGCAGGATGATCGGAACTAGAATAATGCTGACAGTGAAGACTTTGCTTTACTTTAGTTTGATTGTCTTGAGGCTTTCAGAGTATGTTCAACATATAAGTTACCGGTGACTGATAATCTCATGGAAATAAATAAAAATTATTTACTATTAAATTCAGTTTTATTATTTTCTAATATTTTACACCACTGCTCAACACACACTAGTGCATACTAATAATCAATAAATTCAATGGTGTATTGGAGTATACAGCGTATATCCAATAAGCTATTTTTATCCATGACGTATAGCTCATGAGAAATTGATGATACGGGAGTATATGTCCACATAGCTTGTAATTTGACAACTATAAATAATACAAATTGTGGTTATATTTATGACGTAAGTTGGTATCGGATATATTATTATTACTATTATGATTTTTTTTTTTTTATTGATTTTTTTTTTTTTTAATGAAAAATTCTAATTTGTTATAATTTAACAACAGGTTTCTGTTATCAAACAGTCATAATTAAGGAGTTATAGTTCACGAGTGAGTTTTTTTTGGTTCCTACCATATGATAGTTACTACACGAAATAAGGCGTATACCCATGATTACATGAATACATTCATAATATATCTTTTAAACGTGAATATGTTAATGCCATACAAATTGAAACTCTTAATTTAACTACCATCGTAAGATAATTAATAAAAAATAAAGATTTACTTTCTACTCGAAAATGAACATTTAATAACGTAGGTACTAGAACTGATAAAAATATCGTGTCTTATTTTTTGTATTTCTAAAGGTGTTGATATAATGTTGCGTATTATTGTGTGGTTGGATTCCACAATAAAAAATGAATGTGAGAACCATCATGTAAAAGTAATAAATTATCAAAATCGTAAATATAAGTAATATAAGTTATAGACTCGATTAAATTGAGTAGGTACTTAAGTTTTAACGTGGTGGTACACATCAAATCGAGGAACATTCTTGATAAAACACTGAAATGAAGTGAGTGAAAAAGTTTAGATGCACAAAATATTAGAGGTATTAATTCAAGCTGTTCGGATATGAGTCGGAAATTAAATAGTTAAATATAAAAAAATTCTTTTAACGATGGAAAAATGGAGTATCATAAAATATACATTAAAATAAATATACTAAATTAGATTATTTTAAACAGTTCGATTAAATATAAAATTAATAACAATATAATAATAATATAAATATATATGAAATATAGTTTCGCATAAATCCAATTGGTAACTACATTTAAAAAGCTAAAAACAAACTGATAACAAAGAAAAAAAAAAAAAAAAATCGAAATTTGTATGCTTAGATAAATAGCCACTATCTCTTAATTTTGACGAAATATAATAAAAATTAATGCATTTACCTTAAATGGAGGTCGAGAGAAAGGTGCATTATCTTCAATTTTAAAAAAATATTGAAAAAACAAAGGATGATGCAAATAAATGTATTTCATTTTAAACCTTATTTGAATTCAATTGATTGTTACAAAGAAGAATTATTTTTTGAACAATAATTGAAGTCATCTAGATGCTGATGACCAAATTATTCTATTAATTCAATTTTTTTTATCGTTAGTTGCCACATAACTTGTATTTGTAACACTAAGCTTATTGTGTATTTATATATGTTATGTTCAATTGGAGAAAATGACGATTTCATAAATTCAGCGGCGCTGTTGCCGAATCAATTTATTCAACAACTGTATAGATATAAAACGGCAAATTGCATGAAATGCATATAAAACGTCAACCTAATTCATATTAAAGTGTTATATAATATATGATGTTGCGACGTCTCAGTACAGAAAGTTCTGTCGAGCGCCCGTTGACGATTACCTTTAAAAGTACATGGGTCGCCAACCAAATACCGAGACCCTTTTTGGGGCCGGAGTAATTGGATTTTACTTTCGTGGTCATTTATATCATACTCGTAAATAAAGGAAAAGGATTAATAAAGAAAATGATATTATAGATAAATATAAATATATTATAATAAAGCTTTTACATGGTGAAAGAAAGCTCTTATGGGCATAAAATCTCCACCTTTTCATAGTTTTGACTTTAAAACATGGCGAATTTTCCACACACGGATTTATAAAAATTATAAATAATAGGGAAAATTTCACTGACAAATATCGGCCAAGGTATAATAATAATAATAAGAATATAGTTTTTATTTTTTGTATTATACATTACCGACCAATTGAATAATTGGTCGTCGTCCCAAGATGCACCGGAATGGTCCGGTCTACTCGTGCATATTGTGGACGATGGAACAGCTACACAAAAAGTGAGCCAGTATAATATTTTCCAGAACTATACGAAAGCCACAGACTTCTATACTAACTAGATAAGGTACTGTCGATATTTACTGAAGCTTGGCTTATCAGTTTCCACCATTTTGTCGGTTGGCAAAACATTGAACGTTACATTTAGTCCTGTGCAGCATTATATTGAATATTCTTTTACATACAATTGATTATTTATTATTTAATAGAAAATTGTTTTTCACTTGTTATTATAATATTATGTTAGCTTACAACTTATAATCGTAATCAGTGTAGTGTACAAGTATTTGAAAATAATTAAAATGCCCGTTTCGTGTGCTGCATATGGATGCACAAACATGTATCAAGTTGAATATAATATAAGTTTCTTTCGGTAAGTTATATTGTAATAATAACCAATTAGTGATGATATTAAAAACTTAAATAACAAGTCAATGGTTTTTGGTAATTAGGCTTTTACTTTCAAATAAGTATATTTGTAACTTATCACAACTTCCTGGATTTGGCTTATTCTTATTTTAGTATAAAAGTCATACCTACTTCTTATGTTGTTTGTAACGTATACAAATATTGTATATTATATAGATTATACAATTATGATAAAAAATCTCTTATCTATAAAAATATGAGTCATTCTAATTATTTTAATTTTATAATTGTATGATATAGATTTCCCGTTTCTAATAACGATTTGATGTCAAAATGGGTAAGTGCTATAAAGAGAAAAAATTTTAAATTAAGTCAATGGAGTCGAATATGTAGTATTCATTTTACTGAACAAGACTTTCAAGTGAGACCAGAAGCACATAGATTACTGTTAAAAGACGATGCAGTTCCATCAATATTTCCATCATTTCCATCCTACCTTCAAAAATCAAATAAAATTCCTAGGAAAACCCCAACACTAAGGAACACTTGTAATGAAGGTATATTGTCATAAATCATGTTAAATTAATTTTCTTTTAACTTATTTTATTTGTATGATACAGATATAACTGTTGATAATTTAGAAGACAATATCAATCAATGTGACAATATGAATTTAAGTAGTAATTTTAAAAGTATGGAAGTACAAACTGAAACCTCTTATTCAAATGAAGAAATGTTTAAAAATAAAATTAAAATTCTGCAACAAATACTACGAAGGAAAAATAAAAAAATTGAAAATTTGGATGATTTAGTAAAAAGTTTAAAAAATGATTGACACATTAACTCTGAACAGCAACATGTAATTTTAAACAACTTTAATGGTAAACTTCTTATATTTCTTTACATTTAAATTTATTATTTGCTTCATTATGCTTTATGTCTTGCATGGTCAGATTCAGCTTCAAATTTATTTAAAAATGAATTAAAAAATAATTGTAAAACAACAGGTAGAAGGTATAACCAAAAAATTAAACAGCTTGCTTTGACATTATATTATTATTCACCCAAAGCTTATAATTTTTGCCGGTAATTCTGCATTTTCTTTTATAATATAAAAACCAACCAGTAGTTTTTAATTTATTTAATATAGTGTTATTATTTTATTTCAGTTCAATATTAAGTTTACCACACCCAAGATCTATTAGTAGTTGGATATCATCAATAAATGCTAAACCCGGTTTTTTTCAGGAAGTTTTCAATTACCTGAAAAATTTACCTCAACAGGACCGTGATTGCAATTTAATATTTGATGCAATGGCTATTCGTAAAAAAATAATATATGATCATAATAATGATAGATTTGTAGGATACTGTGATTTTGGGGGAATACAAGTGGAGTGTCAAGAAACTCCAGCTACCGAAGCTTTAGTATTTATGTTGGTTTGCTTAAACGGCAAATGGAAGTGGCCTATAGGTTATTTTTTACAAGCCAAAAGTACAGCTTCTATACAAGCAGGGCTTGTCACAACTGCTATTACCATGGTTCATTCTATTGAATTACGGATATGGTCTGTTACCTGTGATGGCACTTCCACCAATTTATCTACCATGTCATTATTAGGATGCAAAATAAGTAGTTGTTATTCAGAGATTGTAGAATATTTTTTAATTCCAGAGATAGATCAGAAGGTATTTCAGTTATTAAAACTCAAAAAATATTTTTTAATTTAACAACATAATACTATCATTATGAATTATATTTAGATTCGTTACGTTCCTGATTCATGCCATAACTTAAAATTAGCTCGAAATGCTTTGGGCACTTACAAAAAGTTTAAACATAACGATAATGTGATTGATTGGTCATTCTTGCAGAATTTACATATGGGTTAGATATTAATATATACAATTGATGGAAAAAATAATTTTTTATTAAATTTTATATATAGTCCAGGAAAATATTGGTTTGACCTTGGCGAATAAATTAACAACCACTCATCTTGATTGGAAGAGAAATGTTATGAAAGTAAAAGTTGCAGCACAAAATTTTAGTTCATCAGTGGCAGATGCTCTTGAATTTTTTAGGCAGTTAAATTTACCAGACTTAAAAAACTGTAAGTTTCAATATCTATCATTAATACATAAAATTATAAAATTACTGTTTTTATATTACTCTATATTAAATAATGAGAATAATAAACATTGTTAATAATCAAAGGTGTAGAAACAATAAAATTTATTCAAACAATTGATAGACTATTTGATTTTTTTAAATTCACGTAATCCATTCAATAAGGGATTTAAAAAAACCACTATACAAAGAAGATATTGATAATATGAAAAAAACTATTCTGCCATTGGTTGATTACCTATTAAATATTATTGATGTGAAAGGAATACTCATTAGTCATACACCACGTAAGACATTTGTAATTGGTTAGTTGTTTTATTTACTTATACTTACATTTGTAAACACCAATAAACCTGGTAAATAATTTAAAATTTATAGGTTTTGCTATAGCAGTTAAATCAATTTTTGCCATTGCCGAAGAACTTTTTGAATCAAATATTCAGTACAAATATCTTTTAAGCTATAAATTTTCTCAGGACCATTTAGAGATATTTTTCTCTAAAATTCGTCAGCGTTTTGGTAATAATAATAACCCTAATGTAATAGAATTTAAATCATCTATGAAACAGTTGTTTTTTAAAAATTCCATCTCTTCATCTTATGCTGCTAACTGTATTGAAATGCACAATAGTAGTGTTGAAAGTATATTTGAAATACGCTGGTCAAAAAAAAATTCTGATGATTTATTTAACATTGAATATGAAGAAAAATCAAATCTTTCAGATTTTTTGATAGGTGAGACTAACCAATCCAGAATTATTAAGGATAATATTCTTTATTATATTACTGGTTTTATTGTTAGAAAGTTACTTAAAATAATTGATTGTTCAACATGTGTAGATAATCTTATAGAACAATCAAGTGAACATAACTATAGTCATAAACATGTCTATTCTGTATTGACTGATGTGAAAAATAGAGGTGAATTATTAAAGAGTTCAAAAAATGTTCTGAAATTAATCAAATATATTGAAAATTCTTTGATCAAATTAACTAACAATTTTACTTCTCATATAACTGGTTTATCTGCAAAAATAATAATTTCAACCAAAAATTATGATTATAATTTCAATATCTTACAAAATATGACATGTTCCGATCATTCATTTTTAGAAAATCATAGATTAGATTTAGTAACACTAATCTGTAAGGAATATTTAAAAATACGTCTACATCATGTTGCCAAATCAAAAACGTCTTCTATTGTTAGTAAACGGCGACAATTAACCAAATTAGTATTATTTAGTAATATGTGATTGTATACTGTGTATGTTTTAATAATAAACTAATATGTATATATTTGTGATAAACATTATTTTCTTTTTCCTTAATTATATTTGGTTTAATCTTTAAATGTTCACATTATTTAAATCTGATTTAATAAAGAAATATCAAGGATATAAGTATTTGATGCATATAGAATAATAGATTTTGTCGCCAACCGACAAAATGGCGGCTGTTCACCTTATCAGCTTCACTCATAGCCATGTAAATTATATAGTAGTTACTTATCTAGTGTAGTATAGAAGTATGTGACGAAAACTGACTCATTGAAAAAATAATTGATAATTATAATAATTGGCCGATACTCGTTATCATGCAATTACTAAATGACCACCCACTAACATACCACACACAACCGGATAGAGAGGTTTGAAATTACAAAGGTCTGAGGGAATTCCAAAGTGTTTTCGTCCATCGGTGTTATAGGTGATGAAGTGGTCGCGCATTTATTAAATGGTTATGATTTGATAAGGAAAACCAAACACGGACATTAATCTATTTTTGATCGTTACAATGTATAATATACAACTATTTATAATATAATGTTAGAATTGTTTTCTTCTATATTATAGTATTTAAGATCAGTAAATTAAAGACATTTAGCTATCACTATTTATTTATTTTTATTTTATCATTTGAATAATTAATTTTTTTTTATAATTTTTAAATTTATTAAATAATCACTCTTATTAAATTTATTTATTTATTCAATAATTTAAATTATATTATTTCTAATGTTATTCAATCAACACTTTTATTTATATACGCTGATTCATATGACAATATAATAAACTTGAAGGTATTTAAAAATTCTTAATTATATAAAAAATACAACAAATTAAAAAATATGTTCATGTTTTATGGTAATAGCCACGTTAGAATAGACTTGTGGATGTTGTTTTAGACAAAAATATATTGTAGAGCTAATAACTCCTTTAAACCTTTTTAATCAATCATCACGAGGTAAAACTGATTATACGACTAACACATTATAAAAGTAACTGTTGATTTTTCAAATACATAAATTATTCGGATATATACATCTATAACAAACTTTATAAAAATCAACTCGAATATAAAAATAACATAAAAATTCTTTTTTTTAACCGAAAATGGATGAAAAATAAAAGTTTCGCTGCACTGTAAATATAAGGGAGTGAACTACATGTCCGTCCTGAAGCCACGAATGGTCGGCGGCGCTGCGGACGACGTCTGCGGTCGACGCGGGAAATGCCGTCGTGAACCCGCACCGAGACCTCGGGACGGGCCGACCACCGTTACCGCTACGGTATTGTACCGGTCGCGTACCCCGTGACCCGGTAGTGGCGCGCGTGCGGTTTCGAACGGGCGACCGTCGTTCGATTTATCGTTTTGTCACCGATAAGTTATTGCGCGTCGAACTTCGCGGACGTGTTCGCGGCTCGGTTGTTTTCCCGAGCGCTGCAAACTCTCGTTCCGCCGGGCCGGGCGATGCCATCGGTCTTCGCAGACGGTTCACACGCGGACGGGACAGGGAAGGATCGGGGAAAGGGTTATGGATGCTCGCGGCGGGCCGGAGGACACGACCTGAACTTTTTAATTGCTTACGAAAACAACAACGGTAAAACTCGCCACCGCCGCGCGCCTCGCATTAGCCGCGTCGCGCCAAAATTTATTAGGTATTTTTTGTGCGGGCCGGGGCGAACAGTCAAAACCGCCGCGATTCTCTCCCCGGTTGACGTACCGAAACGAACGTTGTCGGGACACAGGTTTACGCCGAGCAAACAAAAACCGTTTACCATCACCGTACATCGGTGAGGTCCGAAATAAACTTCGGAGTTGCATCTTCCACCGCCCCGACCGTTTTTGCCGCTCTCGTCGCACTTATACTCTTCCATCGCGCTTGGATTCAATCGAATAGCACAACACGAACGCAGATAATAATTATAACAACCCTATCTCAATATTACCGAGACACGAATTCAGTGTCCAAGCCAACTGCGTTAGATCGACAGATACGATTTCACTTATTCGGAGATTCCTGTATAGTAATAACATACTATGTTTTAATATGCATGCATACGTACTATTAAAAGTAAAGAATTCACATAAATATATAAAAATTTGATAAAAATTATAATTTATGAAAAAAAAACAATCACATGCGGTACGATATTTTTTTCCAACTGTAAATAAAATATTATTATTATTTTACCAAATACTTTACTAAAAAAGTCTTGGATTTAACATTAAGTATGGAAAAAAATCAACACCACGTTTTTATCTTATTATATTGTAATTGACAATGGAAAAAAATAAGTTAGAACCGTAAATTTGAAAATGAAAGCGATGATCAATTATTTTCTTTTCTTTATTAATTTCTACTTCAGTTTTATATTACAATGAAAAATGGAATAATTGATAAAACCGTTATGTTCAGCATAAAATATTATACACTATCTTAGGGAAGAATCAGACAATAGTATAAAATATATTTTATATCTATATTTTCACTTTGTTATTATCTATGATTTATGCATATTACTATAACACTCTAAATGATAATTTGCTAAGAAGTATTTAGTTCTAACTCCACAAATATTTATACACCTATTGTATAACTAGTACTCTAATAACATAAATAATAACATTTAAAATTATATATTAGATTTAAATCGAATAGTTTTGAATATTTAAAATGCGTGGACATGTTTAACAATACAATGTCAAAAAAACATCGTAGGTGGATAAAACATTAATTTAACTATGTTCAATATTCAAATTTTCTTAAAATTGGTTTTCAAATTAATATTATTTTTTATTATT